TAAGAAAGGGGTTATAAGGCCGCCAGGCCGAGGAGCAGCAGCGCCAGCGGCCGCGGGGCCGGAGCGCCCGGTAGCCGCGCCAGCCCCCGCAGCAGCGCCGCGGCCGTGGGGGTCCCCAGCTCCCGTGCCAGCTCCAGCGCCTCGGCATCGGCCTGGGGGGCACAGCCGGCCTTGAGCAGCGCCAGGGCCATGGCGGCGCGCGCCAGGCCGCGGGGCAGCGGTGGCAGCCGGGAGAAACCGGGCAGGGCGTCGGGGCGAAGGGTCTGGCACGGGATCTCCGGTGCCCGCGGAGGGATGGGCTCTGCCGGCGCCAGCAGCTCGGCCAGCAGCGCCCGGTCACCGGCAGCCGGCCCAGGGGTGACGACGGACGCGGCCGTGGCGCCGCCGAGGATGAGGAGCGGGAGGAAGAGCGGAAGCCGCGGCATGGTGGTGGCGGCGGCGGCGGCTCCGGGAGGGTCTGTGGAGGTGGGAGAAGGACAGAGCACCCGTCAGACCCCCGTGGCTGCAGCCCCCCGTGCCCGCCCCGTGCCCAGGCTCACCGGCTCGCCGCTGTCCCCTGCCCTGTCCGGCCGCTGCGGCCGCGCCGGCCCCGTGACTCCTTTATAGCCGTGGTTATCAGGGAGTTGCGACACAGGGACAGGGACTGGGCACTCCCTGAGCCCCCCTGCAGACCCACACACACACCCAAGAAGGGCAAAAGTCGCTTTTATTTATTTAGGCCCTGTCTAGATTTAAAGAGTTTTAAGGAAAAAAAAAAAATCCAAACCCCAATAGCTGAGGAAAAAGAGGGAATTTGGGGTGAAATAGGGAGATGGTGACACCAGGGGAAAGGGGGGGATGGTGGAGAAACTGCTTGCTTGTGCAGCCTTTAAAAACAGCATCAAAACCTGCAGAAGAAAATCTGCAGAAACCCCAGAAAAGCTGTAGAAACCCCAGAAAAACTGCAGAAAACCTGCAGAAAACCAATAAAATCTGCAAAAAGCCCAGGAAACAGCACAAGGCCTGGGCACAGGCAGGCTATGGGGAGCCTCTCAGTCCTCCTCCTCTTCCTCTTCCAGGCAGCGGATGCGCTTCCGCCTCCCCCGGGGCTGTGGATCTTCCTCCTCCTCCTCATCCTCCTCGGAGTGGGGAGCTGGGGGGGCTGGCTCCGTGCCTGTGGATGGAGGAAGAGGAGGGAGGGTTGAGCCCCCGCAGAGATGTGACAAATGGGACAGGGACAGGACAACCTCGACCCAGCAGTGCCCCTGATGACACCCAGGGCTCACTCAGCCCCCCCAGGAGCGAGCAGAGGGGCTGAACCCACCTGAGCTCCCACCATCCTCATCCTCATCCTCGCTGGCGAGCTCCCGGCGCCTCTTGGTGCGCGGCTGCGCTGGGCTGGGGACAGGGACGGGGACAGGGACAGGCTCCTCGCTGCAGGGGTTGGCACAGCTCAGCCCCACATGGGGAGGACACAGAGGGCTGAATCCCCCCCCCAGGCAGGGAGAAGACCTCCCCCCAAACCAGGACCCCACAAGCTGAGAAGGGGATTCCAGTCTCACCTCTCCGAGTCTGATCCCAGCCCTGCCGGCAGCGGCTCTGCAGAGGGGCACAAGGAGGGGGGCTCAGAGCCAGCCCCACACCTGGGGGTCCCACACCCCCAGCCCCACCCCTCACCTGGGTCCTGGGGACACCTGGGTGGCTCTGGCAGGTCCTGGGGGGACCCCGAGGGGCCACAGTGGGCGATGGAGGCGGCCGCGCGCCGGAGCTGCTGCGGGGTGAGGGCGGCCGGGATGCGCCAGAAGGATTCCTGGGTGGACAGGGGGGACATTGCAGGGCTGTGCTGGGGACAAGGGGATGGGGACAGCCATGGGGACAGGGACCTCACCTGCTCGCTGGCGGGGGGCCGCAGCCCCAGCTGCCGCAGCAGGCTCTGGAAGCGCCGATCCTCCATGGCGTCCTCGTTCTCCTCCGTCAGCGGCACCAGCGGCACCGGGTGGGACACGCCTGGAACGGGAACGCCGTCAGTGGGACCCCGACCCCGCAGAACCCCCCAGCCCACCCCCACCCCGCTCACCGTCCTCCTCGCGGTCCCCCGCTGCCCTCCGCAGGCAGTTCTCCAGCCAGCGCAGGGGCCCGGCCAGCCCTGGGGACAGCAGAAGGTGACACAGGATCCAGCCCCTCGGCCAAGCCCAGCTGGGGGGGTTTGGAGCCCCTCACCCACCTTCCCCATGCAGGCGCTGTGCCAGGTCCTGTCCAGCCCCTTCCTGGGGCACCCAGTGCTCCTCCATGAGGCCTTCCTCTGCTTCATCCTCGTCCTCCTCTTCCTCCTCCTCGCTGTCCTCATCCTCCCCTGAGCTGTCTTGGGTTGGCATGGCCGGGACAGCTGTGGCAGCCTGTGGGAGCCAGCAGTGTTTGGGTGCCCCCAGGATGGGGACAGGCTGTGTTTGGGTGCCCCCAGGGTGGGACAGCACCCCCAGGGCACAGCCCAGCACCCTCCAGCCCCCAGGATGGGGACAGGGTGCCCCCCAGGGTGGGACAGCACCCCCAGGGCACAGCCCAGCACCCTCCAGCCCCCAGGATGGGGACAGGGTGCCCCCAGAGTGGGACAGCACCCCCAGAGCACAGCCCAGCACCCTCCAGCCCCCCGTACCTGCCCAGGGCCGGGGCCGTGGCTCTTCCTCCGGCGTTTCTTGTACAGCTCCTTGCGTTCAGCCACCAGCCCCATCCCCAGCAGCTTCTCCACCACCCGAGCCCGTGAGCGCCGCGCCGTCAGGTGCTTCATGATGTTCCCCAGGACGTCTGTGGGGAGGAGAGTCAGGGTGGGGGGCTCCGGGGGGATTTTTGGGGTCTACCCCACCGTGTCCAGCTCACCATCCGAGCTCTGGAACTCCTCGAAGAGCCGCGTCAGCTCCTCCTCCTGCTCCTGCGTCCACAGCACGATGCGGGTGCCCTTCCTGCGGGGTGGGAAACAGCCGTGGGTCCCTGCCCTGGGGGGAAGGTCAGTCCCTGCCCAGTCCTCGGGGGTCCCTGCCCTGTCCCCGGGGGTCCCTGACCCACCTCTCCCGCGGGAAGTCCTTGGCACTGCTGGCCAGCCCCATCCGCACCAGCTGCTTCACCACCTGCCTCCGCGTCCGCCCGGGCGCGGGGAGATGGGCCAGGATGGCAGCGATGATGTCCCCATCTGTGGGACGAGGAGGATGCAGGGACAGAGCTCCTGCCACCCCCCAGGGGTCCCACTGAGACCCCAGAGACCCTCGGTACCTTCCACCTCCTTGTACTTCCAGTACAGCTCCCGCAGCTCCTGCTCTTCCTGGGGGGTCCAGGGGGGCACCCGGCTCCGGGTGGTCCTGGAGAGGGGCAGAAGGGAGGTGAGGGGAGGGGAGGAGGGAGTGGCAGCCCCCTCCCAAGCCCCACTCACCCCTCTCCCTCCTGCAGGGAGCTGTAGCCCTTGGTCATCTCACAGACGATGGCAGGGCTCTTCCAGAAGAGCAGCTCCACAAAGGCCTTTTTGTTGGTGGCCGCCAGCGCAAAGAACTTGCCCAGAATGAACTTGGCCAAGGTCACCAGCTCCTGGGGACAGCAGGAGGGAGAGAGGCTGCAGGAACAGAGTAGGGCTGGGAGATTCTGGGGACTGAGTGGGGCTGGGGACTGCAGGGACAGAGAGTGGGGGTGGGGGACACTGGGGACAGAGAAGGGAGCTGAGGGAAATCTGGAATACAGAGCAGGGCTGGGGAACATCAGGGATGGACAGAGGGGCTGGGGGACACCAGGGACTGAGCAGGGCTGGAGGACATCAGAGATTGAGAGTGGAGCTCAGGCCTGCACGGAGCAGGGCTGGGGGCTGCTGGAGACTGAGTGGGGCTGGGGGCTGCAGGGACAGAGGAAGGCTGGGAGATGCTGGGGACTGAGTGGGGCTGGGAGATGCTGGGGACTCAGCAGGGCTGGGGGCTGCAGGGACAGAACAAGCCTAGGAGATTCTGGGGACTGAATTCTGGGGGCTGGGGGCTACAAGAACAGAGCAGGGCTGGGGACTGCAGGGACAGAGCAAGGATTGGGAGATGCTGGGGACTCAGCAGGGCTGGGGGCTGCAGGGACAGAACAAGCCTAGGAGATTCTGGGGACTGAATTCTGGGGGCTGGGGGCTACAAGAACAGAGCAGGGCTGGGGACTGCAGGGACAGAGCAAGGATTGGGAGATTCTGGGGACTGAGTGGGTCTGGGGGCTGCAGGGACAGACCCCTCCCGCGGGGGGCTCAGGGCCCTGTCTGACCTGGTGTGCAGCAGCCGCGGGGTCGCTGAGCAGGCGGTGGAAGAGGGCGAAGAGGGAGAGCTGGAAGAGCAGGGGCTCCATGTGCAGGTCGCGGGCCAGGCGGTGCAGCAGGCGCACGGCGCAGTGGTTGGTGCGGGCGCTGTTCCTCGCGTAGCCCCGCAGCAGCAGCACCAGTGCCCGCACCACGGGGGCACAGGCGAACCTGTGACAGCCCTGTCAGCGTGGCCGCCCCCCCAGCAAGACCCCCCCAGGCCCTCCCCAAACTCTTCTCACCGCTTCAGGTAGTCGAGGAAGTTGAATTCCTTCTCCGACACCTGCAAGGTCTGTTCCTCCTCTTCTTCCTCCTCCTCTTCCTCTTCCTCTGGCTCCTCGGGCTCGGTGGGTGCATGCCCTGTGGTGGGATGTGCTGAGGGTCTGCAGCGCCCCAGCCCAAAGTTTTCCCACTTCCCAGGGTCACAGGTGGGGACTCACCGGGCAGGGAAGCGACGAGGATCTCCCGCAGCAGCCGGGTCTCCTCGGGCGGCCCCACATCCGCGGATCCAAACACATCCCCTTCAGGCCAGACCTCCCTGGGGACAGTGGGGACAGGCTGGCATTGCGTCCCCACACCCCGGGCACGAGAGGGGCACCACGGTGCAGGTACCTGGCTGAGCGCAGCAGCTGCAGGGCCTGGGGCACGCGGGAATCCCGCAGGCACTCCTGGATCCGCAGCAGAGCCTCCGCGCGCTGCTCCTCCACCGGCGTCTCCGAGGCGGCGTCAAAGGGCACCACGTCCTCGGGGAGGGGCACCTCGCCCTGGGGCAGGACAGGGTTACTCGTGCCCCACCTGCACCCCCAGAACCCCCTGTGGGGCTGAACCCTTCCCTGGTACCTCCAGGCAGGCCTGGACCTGCGGGGCCAATCCTTCCCACAGCTGCTCCAGCTCCGCGGCGCTGGGCGGGGCGGGCACCGCCGGCACATGAGGCTTCTTCTTCTTCCTCCGCACACGTTTGCTCTGAGGGGGCAAGGATGGGGTCAGGAGGGGCTTCCCGACCCCCAGGGACCCCCAAGCAGGGCAGCCACATCCCACCTGCACCACGAGGTTGGCACGGCCGCGGCAGAAGCGCTCCAGCATGCGGAGGAAGAGGTGGGCCGTCTCCACCAGGTCCCGCAGGAAGCTGCGCGGCTGCTTGCTCTCGTCGAATTTGCGGAAGAGCGTGAGGAAGAGCTCCCGGTATTCCATCAGGTAGAAGATGTTGCCTGGGGAGGAGGGTGGCAGTGGGAAGGGGTGGGTCAGGGACACGCCAGGGACGGGCAGAGGGACAGAGGGACTCACTCTTGATGACCTGGCTGCTGTCGCGCA